TTATATATAATAAAATATTGTAATTTTCAAAGGAATTTTAAATTCTAATTTAGTCCATTTCACTCAAGATAAAAACAACCTAATAATACTATTTATTTATTTACTTATTTATTTATGTATGTATGTATTTATTGATTTATTTATTTTAAAGAAAACACAAAAATCTGGACGAACATGAAGGAAACTACCTGAAATTCATATTTTATTTTATCAGCTTTTGCTATAAAATAATAATTAGAGCCTCTTTGAGGACTCGAGTACATTTTTTAAATTATCTTTTATCAGAGTCGTAAATATTTAAATATTTTATTTTACTATTTAAAATGTTATTATCTAAAAGCATTCTACAGCCTAACTCTCCATTTTACTAAAAACAAGGCCACTTAAAATAAGAATGTAACTTAATCTGAGTGACTCAGTCTTTTACATGGTGCTTTGTAACCTTTTCACACGACCTCTGTATTGATCCGAGCTCCGATCAGCTTGTTGATCCCTATTAAAACCAGCAGACGACAGTTATCGGTCGCTGCAGGCGCTTTAAGGTTCTGCTGCACAATTAAACAGATTATAGATCATGTATCAGTTTCGTGTCTTCATCTGAGGAACATGGATCTGACTGAGGCTGCGTGATGTTTGCAGAAACTCACTTTGGGGTCTTCGGGGAAGATGTTGTCCACCAGACGTTTGTATCTCGGCCTCAGCGGCCCACAGCAGCCGCAAACTCCTGCAACAGATTCAGCAAAGGGGAACTTTACCAAACAATAAAAGACTTGAAAAGATTCTTTCGCAGCTTCTGTTTCCAGCAGTTTGCTCTACCAGCAATCACAAACTCCTCGCATTTCTGCAGGAAGAAATCTGAACAATATTTTCAATATCGTTTCCAACTTTACTTTTGTCAATAGTTTCTGCAACATCTGTTTCCATATCATGTTCAGCTCTTTCTTTCATGTGTTATGTGCTATTTCTCAGGTGCAGCATTTCACTTTTGTGCACAAGGACGTCACTGCAACGTGCAATATTTCCTTTTCTTCACATTTCATACCAATAAAAGTTGTCAAACAACAGTATACAGATAAAAGGAATAAAAATGCATATAAACACGAAATAATAACAATAATAATTTAAAAAATCTATTATTGAAATATAGATGGATATGTAGGGAAAGGGCAAAAAACAGTTAAACATGTTAAAAGATTTTCAAAATAAACCAATGCAACAATACAAGATAAAATCATAAATTGCCCATAAAACGACCAAGTAAGGAAAAGGACAAAAAGAAAATAGAACCATACACACAAGGCTACAAATAATCATAAAAGTGATAGCAAATAAATAAAACATGTAAATAAATAGAGAGAATAAAATGAACAAATAAACCAAATGATATGTAAAAATCAGTTACATGATAAAAACAGACAACATGACATGAAAGCAAGTGTTTTAAGAAAATATTAAAAGGAAGACACTAAAATCACCACTTTAATGTGACAAATCGACTTCCATCTATCTGCAGCGTTTCTTCACATTGTCCTGCTGTGACTCACTAACAATCTAAAGCTGCTCTACATTCAGCAGCCGGCAGCCATAGGTCACCTCCTATTGATCAACATGAATCAGTAAAACCAGCAGCGGCCGCCGATCAATAACAAGTCATGACTCATCAGAGATGTCGGCTGAATCAGTAAGAGTCGACCGCTGGGACGGTTTCTGAGGCGACAGACGACGAGACACAGTCCAGATTCTGGATCCCACTGAGGACAGTCTGACTGCGATGCGTTCACTGACGCGTTGTTCAAGTCGTACATTCGTGGAAATCAATGTGAGAAGTTCACTGGCGGTGTTTGAAACTAGTTTTCTATTCAAGGTAGTTATTATTTATTCAGTGAATACAGTTTCTCAACTTTATTCTGATAGATTCTCCTAATTCACTTTGAGAAAACCCATAAAAACTAGACATCAAAACATGCGGCACAATTGTGAATGGTGTATTTTGACTTTTGACAGCGATTTAACAAAAGTTTTTTTTTTGTTTTTTGTTTTTTTTTAAACAAAATTCGTAACGAAATCCGTAAACAACGACGTTAAAAAGAAGTCAGCTGGATAACTGTCAAAACTGGCCAACTGTAGAACCCTGGAGCTCTGACAGATTTTACAGTAGAAACTGCATTCAGTGTTCAAACAGGTCACAAAGCTTTAAACTTTATTCCTCTGAATCTGTTTTGATATCTTTAACAGATTTTACACAGTTGCAGTTTAAGTTGGATTTTCAGAAAAACACAAATTTTTGAATACTTCTCTATCAGTACTTCTACTAATAAAACAATCAGTGGAAACCATTGATATGTGCAATATGGTTATTTCCACCAGACCAATTCACTGGACAATCAGACATGGTTGTCTATATTGTGTGTGTATGTAGGCAGTCCTCTTGGTGCATTTAACCATTTTTTTCCATTGTTTGTTCATGGCATGGGGGAAAAGGGGGATCAAAGGCCCAATTATACTTTATCTACATCTTAAATTTGATAAAGGTACCTACATAATCCACTTTAATTATCTCTTCTGTGGCAATAATTGACCTGCATTCTAACATATTTACTTCATCCTGATGAATTCGCCCAGCAGCCTGAACATGCAACCAAGAAACATCGTCACGACAAGAACATCATGTACATTTGTAGCTGGTAAAAACACTCAGACCGGCCTCATGTGTGCACAGATTTGTGAATGTTTCCGGTCGACGACCGCGAGCGTCAATACGGAGTGTCATCAGTGAAATGTCAGAGTTTTTACATCCTAAGAAGCAGCTGAAAGGTCACAGCAGCTTTCAGCTCCTCTGACAGTCGATCAATGTGGAGAACTTTTAGCATCTTCATCCAGTTCTGCACAAACACGACGGGCACAAAGCAGACAAAGAGACTGAACTCATGCTAAAGGTTTAGAAAACTCCAGAGCGCAAAAGAAAGCACGAGAACTGTCAGTAATGAAATGCTGTTGAGAAACTGTAATGAGGCTTGATTTAAGTCTGTAGCACATTAAGTTATTTAAATGTCGTCAGACCAGAATACAAAAAAAAGTGTGTTTTAGTGAAAGAAAAAGAAGAACAAAAAGTTGTTCATATGAATACAGCTCTAAATTCACCAAGACGGCAAAAACAGTTTTCAAAAAATAAAATTGTATCGTCTGCAAAAAAACTTCACTTTACCTATTTCTGTTCTCTGTCAAGATTATTTATGTACAAAATGAATAACTTTGGGCCTAAAATGATTAAAAAAAACAAACCACTGGGGCTCTCATCACACTCCAGTGATACTTTAAAAGGAGAAAAGCTCTTCCAGGATTATTTTGGGCAGCGGAAAGTTTAAACTACCTGTGAACACCCCCTTGTTTCTACAACTTTGAACTGGTCCAACCTCATGGAGACTGCCGAGTTCAAACGTTTGTCTGAAATGTCTCTACACGAACCAACATCGTGTGAAGGAAGACTGTGTTTCTGCATTCAGTGCCAAAAAGTTGAGATTAAACTTTACAACCAGCAGTTTGTGTATCACAGCTCAACAACCAGCACGTCAGATGATCTAAAAATTCAGTTTCTGAATAAAACAACCAGGTTCATGTGATTTAATATTAGGAGTTTACTGACTAAATTTACCCAAAATCTGTCTGAAACAAAACCAGCTTCTACTGATCATCCACAACCATCTCTACCCGTTTCTCTCCTCAGACTTACAAAATTACCTCAGGGAGTTTGAGGACTTCATTTCCCAGCAGCCTTTGCTCTCAGAGCTCCTGTCAAGCTACATAAAGACCTGCGAGGCGACACCAGGTCACCTCAGTCCCTCCAGAGTTTATTCCTCGGCCCCTCAGGGAGTCTGCACATTAATCAACTTCATTATCAACAGCCGGTCACCACGGCAACCTCTCCGCTGCTGTCGCCGCCGCCGAGCAGTAAAGCGTTCATTATGGATCCTGCAATTAGGAGCTGCAGAGTGTGCATTAGTGTGACCTGCAGGGTTTAATGGAATTCAGCTCCAAGACGTCTTTTACTCAGAACTAAACCTGATCCAACCTCACTTTGACTTTAGCTCTTTATACCGACAGAAACACTTTGGAAACGTTCCTTTTCAGGCTTTTCCACATGTTTTTCCATTGGCAACCGTGTCTGCAAACAAGTACAAGACGCTACAGGACAAAAAATCCAAACCAACACCGACAAATGACAAACTGATAAATGAACAACTCAAATCATTTCCTTTACATGACTTATAACAGTTTACAATTCCCTTACACCCTAAATATTCATTTTATCGTCTGGATTTTTGCAGTGTTTGAATGTATTCTGCACATCCAAATCATAGTTTTCTAGTCTTACCTGTGGTGTGTTGTGTTTTTGTTGGTCACGGCTGTTATTCGCACCAACTTACAACAAATTCCAATGAACAATTAAGATATTGTCAAACGTTTTTCAGCTATAAACTCGTCTCTTCCATGCATATCTTGGTCAGAACTCTCAAAAAAACAACGATTTATTAATATAAATACTGGCTCATTGGTAATTACTACAATTTGTAACTTTTTAAATCGCCATTTGATTTTAAATGCATCTCCTGTAAATGGCCTCAGCACCCTGAAAATGAACATGAAAGACTGTTCAATGACCACATGTAGAAGTTTACTGCAGGATAGTTTTGCTAATACCAAGTTTTGAGGTTAAAAAATAAAACCTTCAGTATCCAGTATTTGCCCTTGTCCCCACATGAACGTGGTATTTATTTATTTATTTACTTACTTACTTCTTTTAATTTCCCTATAAGTTTAGTACTTTTGTTGACACAAACACGATTTCAGAATTTCATATCATCAACTACAGATATTTAAAATAGTATCTGTGAAATTTTACATAAATACATGAAGTACTTTCCGAGATAATGTTTTTTTAAAAAAAAAAAGTTCCACCCTGGGGGAGTGCTCCGACAAGGTGGAAGTGTCCAGAACACACAGGCAGGACTTGGCTGCTGATGCCAGTTTAGTCAGCGGTCACACTTCTGTTTCCACCATCACTGCTGCCACCACCCATGTTTACTTCCCTAAACACTGAGCACGCTCGCTGCGTATGATGTCGTCGTATCCTCTTCAGTACATGCGGGACACTTTTGGGTCGCATGAAGTTCACACAGCAGATCACATACAAGTCGCATTTAAGTGGAAATGTGAACGAACTCTCAAAAAAAAATCGGATTTCACCAAAAAATCCAAATGTAGCATTTAGTCCTACAGTCTGAATGTAGCCAATCTGTTGGATTGTTCATTCAGATAATACGCTGTTATCCTTATTTGTGACATTAAATGTCATGTTGGAGTCAGAATCCAAGACCGTTGGTATGTCAAGGCTGTTTTTATTGGGTTCCGTTCGTTTTTCCTCAAAACCTGTCAGATAGCAAAGTTTTATAATTGTTACTGGTCAGACTAGCAAGTCAAGACTGTATATATTTTTTGCACATAAATATACAATTATTTTTCCACTTGAGCAACGAAGGCATCAGAATCCTTAAATATGTCACATTTAATTTCGTCATTCCTCAATGCACCACAATTGGTAACCTAATGGAATACAAAAAGCGTTTTTCAGGCTTCCGACTGGCGGACGTGGCTTCAGGATGAAGCTTTAGTCTGGATTTGATAACAGTTAAGTCAATTAACTGATGGACAGAATATAAACGATGA